CCTCTCCCTCCCTCCCTCCTGTCCTCTCCCTCCCTCCCATCCTCTCCCTCCCTCCTGTCCTCTCCCCTCCCCTCCTTCCTGTCCTCTCCCCTCCCTCCCTCCTGTCCTCTCCCTCCCTCCTGTCCACTCCCCTTCCTCTGGTCCGCGTGGGCCTAGGCCTCGCACTGGCTTAGGGACAGACCTGGGTGGGCCCTGATTCTGAAAGCGTGACACCTTAGGCACACTTAGGCCCTCCTCGTGCCCATGCCTGTGTCTACACAGTGAGGATACCTAAGCCTGTTTCTCTCGGCCAGGTTCTCAGGGTCCTGCGAGCATCGGCATCACCTCTGGCCCCACTCCGGCCGACTGAAGCAAAACCCTAGGGTGGGGTCCAGCAAGCTTTTCACAAGTCCCACGTGATTTCACTGCAGGCTAAATTTTGAGAACAACTATAAAAAAGGGTAGGGACAATCAAGTGAAATAAAACATTGTGTATAAAAAGTTAAACAAATAGTAGATGCTCAATAAATAATGGTTATAATTATTATTATGCCAGGAACAGAGCAGTTAGTTGCACAGAAATAGAAAGTTAAGCAGGCACTTCTTGTCTTTTAAGCATTTTATTTTCTTGCTTTAAAAAACTAAAAAAAAATTAATATATGCCCAAAGGCCTCTCCAACAACAACAAAAAAATAGGTATGCAGCATTAGCTTCTCAAATATAAACTTACATATATTTTTAAACTATTTTTATTGATTTTTAGAGAGAGAGGAAGCGAGAGGGAGAGAGAGAAACATCGAGATTGGCTGCCTCTTGCACGCCCCTGCTGGGGATCCAGCTGCAACCTGGGCATGTGCCCTGACCAGGAATCGAAACTGCAACCTTCAGTGCACAGGCGGGTGCCCAACCAACGGAGCCACACCAGCCAGGGCAAACTTACATTTCTTTCTGACACACTTGTTAGTATCTTTGGACTTCTTTAGAAAAGCAAAATACGATTAATGTTAAAGGTTTTATCATTTTAATTGTTTTAATTTAAATTTCAACTTTCTTATGCTGCAATTAATTTAAGACTGAAAAACATAATAGATCTACCACATGACCCATCAATTCCACTTCTGGGTATTTACTCGAAGAAAATGAAAACACTAACTTGAAAACAGATATGCACCCCCGTGTTCATTGCGGCATTATTTACTATAGACAAGCCATGCAAGCAGCCTGTGTCCAACAGCAAATGGATGGATAAACAAGATGTCACACACACACACAATTGAATATTATTTTGCAGTAAATAAGAATGTAATCTTGCCACTTGTGACAACACAGATGGACCTACAGGAAATTATGCTACGTGAGATAAGTCACACAGAGAAATAGAAATACTGTATGATTTCACTTATGTGTGAAATATAAACAAGCAAACAAAACAGAAACAGATTCATAGGTACAGAGAACAAATGAATGGTTGTCAGAGGAGGGGAAGGTGGGAAAATAGGTGGAAAGGGTGAAAGGGGAATAACAGGCACGGACTTCCAGTTATAAAATACATAAGTCACATGAATGCAATGTATAGCATGGGGAATATAGTCAATAAAATAATAACTTTGTACAGTGACAGAAGGTTACTAGTCATATCATAATCCCATCGTAAGATCTATCAGTGCAGAACCACTATGCTGTACCCCTGAAACTAATATAATTGTATGGTTATTATGCTTTAATTTTTTAAAAACGAAAGATTGAAAATGTAATGGTTACCATGAAACTGTTACCGAATGGCGACTCCGCCGGCAGCGTGTGGGTTCTTGACTCCATACAGGAAAGATTTCCCTGCACAAGTCCAAGTGATTTTGGGGGTCTAGAGATACACGCCTCAGGGACAAAGGCGTGGGCACGGGGTCCTTTGTCTTGAGGCTTTTTGTCTTTCGTTAACTGGTGAGAATCCAAGGGAAGGTCTCAGGGAAGGGTCTTAACAGAATATTCATTAGCTTTCCAGGTGTGTCCTTCACTATGTTGGTTCATCAAAATGTGAGTTTAGAGGGGTCAGGGTTATTTTCTGGTTAGTTTTATTTTCAAAGAATGTCAGCCAGCAGGGACCAGGGCCAAGGCCAGTCTGCCCCGGGACAGTGTGGAACGTGTAAACCACTTAGGAGCACTAAGTGTCCTTGGTTAGGGAAGATAAAACCTTGTGATTCATTCGCCAGCTGTAAATTGCTCACATTGTTTGGCCTTGTTCAATTATTTTGTCCCAGTTTCCTTTATTCCACTTGCCAAGGGATTTCCCTAGCTTCTCACTATCCTGCCTTCAAACAATTAACCTAACAAGGATGAAAGGAACAGACACAGTTCTTGAGCAATCCATGGCTTTATTACCATGACAAATGTTATTGCTTGTTTTGTTTCTGTTTTCTTCCTTTTATGTATTACAGAAAATTCAAAAGGGACGCACTGGAATTAATTAGAAATGTTAAGATTTCCCAAAAAAGGATTACCTAGATTTGATCAAACTCAAGATGAAGAAACCTACCTGGAAAATTTAGCAGTACAGAGAAATGCTTCTGCCTTTTTTGAAAAATATGATCGGAGTGAAGTACAAGAGTTGCTAACCACGGCACTAGTTAGCTGGTTGTCCGGCAAGGAAGACGTCCACTGCCAGCTGGACAGCCCGTGTGGAATCATGAGCCAGATGAATAACGTGGGCTTCAGCACTGCAATCCTGCTGACTCCCCTGGAGCCTTCTGCCCTCTTAGACTACAGAGAGGTCCACCAGATCATAAGGGAGTTGGCTGTTGGAATTTATTGCTTGAATCAAATTCCTTCGATCACTTTAGAAGCTAATTATGATCAGAGTTCTTCTTGTCAGTTACCCCCCGCTTACTATGATACCCGAGTCGGGCAGATTCTGATCAATATTGACTACATGCTGAAAGCACTGTGGCACGGCATGTACATGCCCAAGGAAAAACGAGCCAGGTTCTCTGAACTGTGGCGCACCATCATGGACGTTGATCCAGATGGAAAGCCTCAAACAAATAAAGATATCTTCGCAGAGTTTAGTTCAGCAGGTAAGAGAATGGAACACATATTTTTAGTAGAATCCATTTTTTAAAAAAATTGAGTGTGAGAGGGAGATTTTATTTTAGTTAGTTTTTTATTGAATTTATTGGGGTGACATTGTTTCACAAAGGCATACAGGTTTCAAGCGTACAATTCAACAGAACATAATCTGCCCCCTGCATCATGAGACCCTTCCCCCTTTCTCCCTGCCGTGCTACCTGGGAGAGGCATATGGGGTCTCACTGCTCCTTAACCCGATACCATGACCTGTGCTTTAGTGCTTTCAGTTTCTGAGCTTTTCTGTGGTGACAACTGACTTGTTCCCACCCACTCCAACCCAGGACGTTTTGGAGGTGTCCGCAATGCTCTGACTCATGTTTAGATTTTTTTAACCTGCCAGAAACACTTTAATTTCTGGATAAGCTTTTACTAATTTATTTTACTAACTCTTTTGCAAAAGGGAGATGAATCATAGTGGCTATTTAAAAAATACAAGAGTGTTGTTGAGAGATAGATAAATAGGAAGAATTTGAGGGGGAAGGGGAAGAAGAAGGGGGGGCACATTAATGTGTCATTTACACTTTAAGGCACATGCGTTACAAGCAAACTCCACGCTTTATTGAAAGTCATAGTTTATGATTCTAGGCTGTTTTTTCAAACCTAGATTAAGGATAACATTATGAATGCAACTATCCTATCTTTATTTTATTATTTATTTATTTATTTATTTATTTATTTATTTATT